GTCTCCGGTTTCAAGTCACATTTCCTCAACCATTGCCATGTTCCATTAAAATAGCACACTCATTCATCTCCCTATAATATTGCCCATACATTTTCTTGTCTTTCCATCTGTTTTTAGATTCCATCATTTACATTCTTTTATAATATTTTGTCTCAATACTCCTCTCTACATCAACTATTTTAGCTCTACCAGCAGCTATCAGTAGTGGCTCAACAGTATTCCTGACATACAACCCTAAACTATTCTCCTCAGCTTGTACACATCTTTCACACCCCATTAGTCCCCTCCTCCTCTTCCGTGCCAAGTGCAATTTGTCCACATCACATTTTGGGTGTAATGCTCCAAACATTGCCATCAACTTTCTTGTCTTTCGGTCCAAGCTTCTCAATTCTACCTTTCGCCAATCTAAAATCCCTGCATCATATCTCAACAACGCAATAATAGCCCATGTATATATTCCCATAATTTTATTTCTTCCATTTAGCTTAGGTCCTAAGACAGCTCTGACTTGCCTAACATATTCATGTTTAACTTTCTCCTTCATCTGTATGACCATCCTTCTCCAAGATTCCAAGATACTTATACCTATCCTCATCCACTGATTTCATTGTTTCTCCGTCTGGTAGCACAATACCCTCACTTTCAACCACTACTCCTCTCTTTAAGACTAATGCCCCACATTTCCTCACCCCAAACTCCATTCCAATATCACTGCTAACAGACTGAACTGTATCAACCAACGACTCTATCTGAGATGTGTTCTTACCAAATAGCTTCAGATCATCCATGACCAATAAGTGATTAACATTCCCACCCCCATCTTTCATCTCATAACCAGCCTTCATGCCCCGTAGTACCATTGTCAGTGGTATCATACACATAACAAACAACAATGGTGAAAGACAGTCTCCCTGAAATATTTCTCTTCTTATTCTTACATCTCCTAACACTTCTCCTCTAGCTTCTAACTGGCATTGCCAACTTTTGATACTTGAACTGATAAATGTCACTACATTGGCTGAACACCCAAACACTCTTCTGTCCATGAATCTGGCACCATATCATACGCCTTCTAATTATGAATCCATGCCATGGCTACATTAGTTCTCCTCTTGCTATCCTATTATTATTATTCTTATTATTAATATTATTTTTTTAAATGTGAATTTTTATTGCATCCTCTTTATTTAATACATTTCTTATACGAAACATCTGAAGAGGAACAGCAACAGTATCAACAACAAAGACCTCAAGAGGAATGGATGTTGATCTGCGAAAGAACCAGTCAACTTGAGCCAAGTAACACTACTGATGAGCATAATTGGGCAGAAGCAGCAAGATCATACCCTGATATTGATAATGCTCCCCATTTCATTGCTCAAGGAAGACAGAATACCAGATACACTCCATTTACCACCTCTGCTACTCCGGACAACCTTCAGAGTAGACAGTTAGTAGTGTACACCACTGTCAGGCAGTACTTTGAGAGTACCAGTCAAGAACCACTCCACATCATCATCAATAGTACTGCTGGTACTTGTAAATCGTACCTAATCAACTGCTTGAGGCTATTGTTACATGGTAGTGTCAGAGTAGCAGCACCAACAGAAGTGTCAACATTTATCATTGAAGGAAGGACACTGCATAGTCTCCTGCATTTTTCAATGAGAGGTGACTTCAAGGAAATGAAAGGAAGTAATCTCCAAAAGATGCAAGATGAATTGTCATCTACCAAAATACCTTACCATTGATGAGATGTCAATGGTGGGGAGGAAGACATTTGGTATGATTGATAGCAAGTATTTCCTAGCATGTCACAAGCTCTGTTTGGTGCATGCTCTGTTTTATTATATTGAGACTTTGGCCAGCTGCCATCAGTGATGGACCTTACTCTATACACTTCTGTCACACGTTTAGATCTGTCAGACCAAGAGTTCAGAGCATACAGTCAATATGAGATAGCATTTACTCTGACCCAAGTAATGAGGCAATCTGGACAAGATACTGATCAAATCAGATGTCTTGACATTTTACAACACCTCAGAAATGGAGACACAACAACGGACGACTGCAACCACCTCATGGAGCAAACTTCAACTAGAGTACAAGACCAGTCTTCATTTGTTACTGCTTTTCCTACTGTTAAAGCTGTTGTTGATCACAATGTCGCTATGTTACATGAGTGTGGTTATCCTATTGCTACCATCAAGGCAGTACACACTGGAGCTAATGCAAGCAGTGCATCTTCTTATGATGCTGGGTGGCTTGGAACAAGTTGTGATGCTAGCAAGAACAGCAAAAGTGATGTGAAATAGCAACTTGTTGGTTGATGTCGGACTGGTTAATGGAGCTATGGGAACAGTTAAAGCTATCTGCAACAACGAAACCACACCTCATCTACCAGTGGCTGTGATGGTACGATTTGATCATTACACTGGGCAAATCAATAGCTGAAATAATAATTATTACACTAATCTTACTTTAAACGAGAAGGTGCGGTATAAAAGGCGGGGCCCTGGGCATGGTGGCTTCCGTTTTATTCACGTGTAAAAATGTCGGCTCTAGATGGTGTTGCTTCTTCAAGGAAAAATGCAGGAAGAAAGGGGTTTTGGTACCAAATGGACTTCCATTTTACTCTCAAAGAAGACAAGGACCAGTTCTAGTTAGGCTTGATCGAGTTAAGGGGTCTTTAGGCACTAAAAGAAGGCACTGGAACTGCTGTCTCATTTACTCGCCGATTTAAAAAGAGAATCATTCTGAGGCTCTATCACATGATACTAGTAGTTCTTCTGCTATGCTCAATACTTCAGGTAGTTATAATGTGTTTAAATTAGTGATTATATATAAATAAGGTATAGGTGAAGGCCAGGGACGAAGAGCAGCCATTTTGTGCATAGATATAGGATCGGCTGTTGGGAAACATACATTAGTATTAGTGTGGTATGGTTGACCAAAGGATGATCAGTTACAGACAGGTATTCTATGTTAGTATTATTATTATTATTACTATTATTATCAACATCATCAAAACTATTCATAATTTTAGATCGTCATGTGATTTGTGCTGAATTTTGATTCAATCCCAGTTGTGAGTCCTGTAATCGTAACTCAAGTTTATTAGGCACTAGATACAGAAGTATTATTTGCAATGTAAAGTAATCATATAGTGGCATTAATATTTTTAGGCTCGTACTAGCATTTTTCTTGTACTGGTATATTACCATCACAGTACTGCCATATTTTTGTCGGCATCACTGGGCACAGTTGGGAAGAGGTACACAGATACAGGAGGCTCCTTACCATCCCAATATCTATTCAACCCTATAATGTTTATATTTTTAAAAATTTAGAATAATATTTTTGTATTTACTTCTTCCAGTAGATCGTTGAATGTTACAACTGCTACCAGTACTAGGATCTGAATGAAGACCATGTTGGGGTCTTTTGCTGGAACCACTTATACTTGATGATGGTGGCTGATATATGGTAGTCGGCAGGGCTGTCTGGTCCCAGTGGTGGTGGTTCTTGGGCTGGTTTTCTGTGTAGTAGTGAGGGCTATTCCCTTGCCACTATCACTTATTACCTGCCTGACAGCATCATTGACCGTGTTTCTTAGGCTGTTGGCAGATTTTTCAGAATATACAATGTAATATTTGATAATAATGTAAAATTATTACTTCAAGTCAATTATACCATTTCTCTCCTTGCTAGGCTTTCTAGGTATGCTTGTAGGTTAACTCTCTCACCTTTGCTAATTTTAATGTTTTAATAATGCGTTTTGCTAGTGATTTAGCCATGATAAGAACAGTGCCAGTGCGGGAGCCATTTTGTTATTTTCAAGTTTCATTCAATCTGGCCGCCATATTGTGCCCAGGGCACCTCCTTTTATACTGTGATCGACGGAAGCGATTTCATGACGTTGCGTGAATGGTTTTATAGTGCACCTTCTTGTTTAAGTGACTCTCAACCTGTGATTCATTTCTTTAATCTTTTTTTCATTCTTTACAAAAAATTCCTATTTAGATGGTGTTCGTGGAGAGAGTGTCATCCACTTCATCTCTTTTTGGCTCCCTACAGGTTGTAGGGATGAAGCTGTTGGAGGAGAATGTATTATCTACTCCTTGTGAGATGTTTCTTGGTCAGATACTAATAGTGGCATGTCTTTAATAGATGGTTTAGCTGTTGGTTTGTGAAGACTAAGTTGACGATGATCTTCTTTGTTCCTCTCCTGAAGACATTTACTATTATCAATGCTCTTGAGTTGTTAAAAGGAAATGGTGGATTTTCACTTGGATTTTCAATAACTTTCTTATTTTACATGCTAAAGGCAGCAGTTTTTTGCTGTTGTATTTTTCTCTGAAGAGCTGGTATTTTGATATATGATACAACTAGAGCGCAGTTGTAGAAAATGGGAAAAGAAATCAAAGCACTTGGGCTCTTAGAGAGCACTTGACGCCATTAATGCCGCCCACTCGCGGTGACCACGTAGGCGTATAAAACAAAATGGCGACCAACAGTACACCACATGGACCACCAAGAACAAGAGATATTAGCAGGAAAAAAGGCATGGGGTGAGATATAACTAAAAAGGCATGAAAAGATGAGTATAGCTAACCTATTGGACTCTTTTTGGCTGCATATACAAATGGAAATGAAAAGAACGATATAAACTAACAGGTAGCTATAATGAACCATATCTTTTAGTTCACTTTGTTTAAGCCTAGGATTTGTGTATGTACCATAAAAGAAAACAATAATTTTATACTCTGGAGCGATGGGCCTGACTTATTAACATTCACAGATGAAGTTGGGACCTTCTGCTGAGTAAGAATAACTGTTTTGATGGAAGGGAACCATTTTGTACACCTGAATTTCTTGCTAATGTTAGTAGTGAGTCCAGTGATGGGTCCGATCGTTATAAAGCCTCTAGCGAAGGCATCACTTCAATCCTACCTCTCCAAATGATCCTGTGGTTGGTAATGACAATTATGAATACACCTGACTAATTATATTACTTGAATTTACTGTATTTAAAAAAATAATAATTTATAATAAAATGTATCATAATTATATTCATTGTGGGTAAGCTATTATAAACAAACACTTATGTGACAATTAACAGCCACTTTCGTATGACAACTACTGCATTTATAATAAGCTGATCAAATTCAGTGTGACCCTACTATAATTATTTTACCTTTGTTTATTCTTTGGGTAGCTCTTGAAAATGTAGGTGACAAGGAGTTTTTTTTCTCTATCTTGGACAGTAGATGGACTAGGTCAATTGATATCTCTGGGACGGCAGATTTATGCAGAAGTTGTATATCTCTTAGAATTTCCAAAAAATAATAAAGCAAATTTTTGCATCAAAAATAACACAGCTAGTAAACTAGTTAAGCTGCAGGAGAGTTTGCTTCAGTTCATTCGAGAAGTCACTAGGCATCAGCGGAAAAAGGCCACATATTCTTCTCACAATGATCAGTCCTAGTGAAAGATTATGTAGACCTTATGCTTTGCCTGTGTCTTGTGTTCCTTATCAGAGTTTGACAGCTTAGGAAGCTCGTACCTTTATTAGCAAGATTATTTTTGAGATGAATGAGCGAAATATGAAAGTAGCAGGTACATTGTATATAAAATTGATGAAAGTGTATTGCCTTCTTTTTTGTTGGTAATGGGGAATACAATTCCTTTCGTTCAATGGGTTACACACACCCCTTTCCGTACTCAAAATGAGATCTATTGCCAGAAACAAGTATTCTAAGATGTCAATAACTACAATGGAAGCAATGCTTGAGCTTATAAGTATTGCAGTAAATTTTAAACTTATTTTAATTATTGAGTGTTATTTATTCCTGGGAGCTAGCTGATGTGGACACGAATGACACTATTGATCATTTACGAGTTCAATGTGTACCATCAGCACAGCCTCAACTTGTAGCATTCACAATAGTTCTCCAATTTAGTGCTTCATGAGTGTTCAAGACATTCCCTTAGTGGCACCATTCCAAGTTTCTCTGAATGTTTCCATTCAGACCACCACTGGTATACTCTCTGAGAACTGCATGGGCTTCATCTCTATCATGGAAGTGTTAAAATAGCCTATTATTATAAATGAATTGTTAATTATTAATGAATAAACTAGGTAATAGTAAGGTAATAATTATAATAGTTTTAGTAAAGAGATGTATTTATGAGATCTTTCCGTAAGGAAGCCATCACCATTTTTCCACCACGACTTGTTTGCTCATAGATTTTGTTCCGCCAAAACTTCCTAACACATTCTACTTTTTCCATAGACTGATCTTTAATATGTTGGAGTTCAGCTGGTCTCTTAGATAATTTGATTCCATATATTCAATTTCATCACGAAGGAATTCGATCAGTTTGTCTTTTCTTTTATCTCAATCAATATACTTTTGAACAAATGCTTTTAAAAGTTCACCCTGTTGACATTTGTAAAATCATGAGCTTCATTAGCCACCAAAACTTCTACAATAGTGTCCTTTTCGGTTATAATTGTGGGGTGGGGGTCACTATATTCCTTAGATGATATTTGTCTTTGAACATCATTCCAAAAAGACTCTATTGAATCTTCTTCAGATTCGGAGGATGTAGAACTTGTTGGAGATGTGGAAATCTGGCCAACTGAGTCCTCCCATGTGTTTCAAATTGAAGTCTGAGCTAATTTCAATTTCTTTTTATTTTTCTGGCTTCTTCTCTTTTGACGCTTGTGATTCTGAGAGTGACGTCCCATTTTCAGCTACAAAAAAAAACAGAGAAAGTGAAAGTTATATGGCATAGAACTACATAAAAAAACTCAAGATAAGGCAGACAAAAACTTGGTAGAAGAAGGGAGTTAGAGTCAGAAGGAAGAAAGAATGAAATTTGTTATTGAGGCAAATACAAATAATTCAAAACTTCTCTGCTACACAAAACAATGGGGTCAATTATATGCCACATGACAAAAATGACAGAAGTGTGATACATTTTGGTTCACAATAAATTATTGAAAAATGTCAACAAAGCTCATATTACACGAAATACTACATAATAGTAAAATAATTTTCACTACTGTAACGAGTACATTTTGCCTTGGAAAATGTTTGTTTTAAGCAGGACAAGCCATTTTTTGTGTTATTTTTGTTCTGAGTAGTCAAAGACATTTTGTACATCTCGCATTGAAGAAATGCCTTTTTCCATTCAACAAAAAGTATAAAATTAAACTTCAACAAATAATACCTGCTATATGGTAATACTAAAAACAAGCAATGGACTGACCAGAATCTGACAAAGCCCACACACTGACAAGCAATGGACTGACCAGAATCCGACAAAGCCACTGACAAGTGATGGACTGACCAGAATCTGACAAAGCCCACACACTGACAAGCGATGGACTGACCAGAATCTGACAAAGCCCACACACTGACAAGTGATGGACTGACCAGAATCTGACAAAGCCCACACACTGACAAGCAACAGACTGACCAGAATCTGACAAAGCCCACACACTGACAAGCAACGAACTGACCAGAATCTGACAAAGCCCACACACTGACAAAGCCCACACACTGACCAGAATCTGACAAAGCCCACACACTGACAGGCGATGGACTGACCAGAATTTGACAAAGCCCACACACTGACAGGCGACGGACTGACCAGAATCTGACAAAGCCCACACACTGACAAGTGATGGACTGACCAGAATCTGACAAAGCCCACACACTGACAAACGATGGACTGACCAGAATCTGACAAAGCCCACACACTGACAAGCAATGATGGACTGAGCAGAATCCAGGCTGACACTAAGCCCACGTACAGTCATGCAGAATCTGACACACATGATTGTCTGACTAGACTCTCCGAACACACATAATTCATAAACAAATTATACCTGATACAAATTTGTTCTGAATTCAATGAGTTTTCCACTGTCCAGTCGGCAGTAAAATAGCACGAGTTACCATCAACCATATGCATGCATATGCATCAAGTTGCAACCACACCCATTATTATGACCACACCCATCAAAATAAGAACATTATTAGTATAAAATAGTTATTAGTAGACTGGTGCTGTATTATAAACTGTGTCTTGTCCAATTACAGATCCAAACTTATAGGATGTTTTAGTACACACTACATTACATTTAATGTTTATTATTGGTACAAAAATCTCTTCTTGAAATGAAACAGCATTCCAGACTTGGGTAGGATACCCAAACCAAACATGACATTGATGAGGTTCATAAAGTGAAACAACCGCAAACCACTTCCTTAATTTTTGAAGATTTGCTCTTTTTACTATTTTACACTGAATAAATGCATGTATAACTGCAAGCTGAAGAGCTGAACTTTCAGTGGACTTAACCAAAACAAAAGATGACTGAGAATTCCTTGAGCCACAAGCTAAATAAACATTCTCTCCTATTAACACTGACTTGGTTTCATTGTGTAGCATCAAAACATCAAAATCACTTGAAGGTACTTCAGTTATTAGAGATTTAATGTGTTGTTGTTGAGTGCTTGTAAAGGAGTTTTCAGTTATGGGAGGAAGAGGTTGAATGGTTCTGTCACCTATAGAACTGTCTAATTTTAGTGACCCTTTTTGGTATACAAACTTGGTAAGAAGTGGAGAAT